AGATGACTTTTACAGTGCTCTCACATTTTCCATTTTTTTAAATAATTTTTTTTATTAAAGTTTCAAAAGTTTTTTATAACAACAGAAACAAAACAAAACAATACAATAAAAATGACAAACAAAAAGTATAAAAAACAAGTATAATTTCAACCCTTATTTTCTTATAACTTACTTCCCCGACTTCCTCTTACCTCCCCTTTCTGTATTCCAATTTCTAAATTACTCTTCAGCAAATCCTTCCCTTATTTTTCACTTAATTTTAACCTTTCTTTTTCTTTTTAACTTATCCATTACCGCTTATATTTTCTAATCCAGCGTCATTCTAACATTCATTAATTTTGCAGTATTTCTTTAAATAGTCCTTAAATTTTTTCCAATCTTCTTCCGCTGTTTCTCTTCCCTGGTTTCGGATTCTGCTCGTCATCTCTGCCAGTCCCATGTAGTCTATCACCTTCATCTGCCATTCTTCCAAGGTGGGTAGGTCTTGTGATGAGTATTCTTGCTGCTGTTGTAGCATACATAAAAAATGTTCTGTCCTTCTTTGGCACCACTTGGCCGACAATACCCAAGAGAAAGGCCTCTGGTTTCTAGTGCTCTCACATTTTCCAGTCCGCCAGAACTCTCTAAAAATCTGTACTTGAGAAAATATTTGGGAAATGCAATACTGGTCCCACACAACACATTTGGGACTTCAATGCAGATTGTGGTTGAATGGGCAGCTTTGGTGGGTTGTGTAGTTTTCGTTTGTTACATTGTTAGTGCTGGATGAAACGAAACAGTGTACTTCCAGGGTAGGGGGAATGTACTAATAGCTCCATTGCAGTTGCGAGGAAGCAGCAGAGTTCAGCATCAAGATCATCTTGGGAGACTGGGAAAAAAGTGCTTTTATTGCACCATCTTCCACCCAATGCTCTAGCTGTCAGGTACCTACGAAGGCACAGGTGAGCTAGGTAGGCCTCTCCCCTGTGGACTGATTACACTTGCTGCTTCCACATAAGATGGAGCAGCATTTCCAAAGGAAGGGGATTCTTACAGCCATCCATAAAAACTGCCCTTGTGAGACACAGGGCCTTGTAGTGGTGGCATCTCCCCCAAGTGAGATTTGGATGGCTTCCTTGTAATATATTTATTTCAGTAGAGTTTTACAGTGTAATTCTGCTGTGTGGGTTTTTTTTTTGAAAATACCTTTTGTTGGCTAGTTTGTATTGTTTTAAGAACGTGATTGTTGTGTATTGTATTTTTCACTGGTGTAAACTGCTCTATAATAGGGATGGGGAACTTGCAGCCCATCAGATTTTTCTGGACTGCAACTCCCATCGTCCTTGACCAATGGTCATACTGCCTGGTACTGATGGAGTCCCAGAACATTTGGAAGTCCACAGGTTCTTCACCTCTGCTATGTAAGCAGAAGAGTGCCATATAAACATATTTTTTATTATTAGTAATAGACAAGCGGTGATACAGCTCTTCCCTGACACTTGATATTTCATGCAGAATTATAGGTTTGTGGTTCAAGTGCTCCACCACCTGCCTGCTTAGGCCCAAATGTACTTCTGCTATCTCATATTTTAAAATATTAGTGTAAATTTTCAGTTGTCCACACCCCCAACCTAATTCAGTATTTCTTTCTTTTACATTTTTAGCTCATTTTACAATGTATATAAAACCAAGAGAACAATTATAACAACATGCAAAAAAGATGTAAAACAAAACTATAATATAGGCACATAGAATGAGTAGTCGCATATGAGTTAAAATAACAAAGTCCAAGTAAAGACTATCAATCTTTTCAGATCATGTATCGTTCCAGATTTGCCAAGCTGGTGACAAGAGTTGTCTTGAAAATATGTAGTATTTTCATGGTATGTCATGAAGGAATGCCAAATCATATAAAGTGTCTGGAGGTTCCAGCCCTTGTCAAAATCTCAAATTATGTGTGATTTTCTCCATTATAGCTATATTCCAGAGTAAGTGATATCCAGGTGCCCAGTATAAGATTTTGGGCTATTTTCCACTGAGTTACAATTACTATTTGTGCTGCCGAGATCATTTATAAGACCAATTCTTTTGACCAAATATTTACATTGATATAATAAAAAATATTCAATCACATTAATTTTGTACAACAAACAATATTTTCTTTAGCAATATTTATCATTTATGTCAATATTAAATTCCAAAAAACTTATATCGACTGACATTCCTACCATAAATGATACATACTATATAATATGTACCAATCTTATTGCAGCCCCTCTGACAATTAGGTGATATAGAAGAAAACATGTTTGACATTTGCAAAGGAGTGTGATACCATCTGTGTAATAATTTTAATGAGTTTTCCCTAAGAAAACTGTCAACAGATTTAAAGGGTTGTGCTCCACAAATTTTATTCCAGTCCTTGGGAAGAATTTGTGTTCCAGTATCTAGTTCCCATGTCTTTTAAAGGGGTTCCATAGATCCATAAGTTAGACTAAGCAATATACAGTAGAGTACAATAATAAATTTCCAAATTTGTTAAGGGTCTCAGAGCTTGTGCCTTTACAGTTTATTTTATAATAAAACTAAGAATTTGATTAAAATAAATCCAGTGTGTGTTAAGATTTGACAAAGTTTATTTTATTTACTTAATAGATATAGGTTGATTATTGCTATAGAACTATCATAATGTGTATTAACCTTTGGATTCCCAGTGTTCAACTTGCTTATCTCTCCCTGGCTGGACTGTTATTTCTTTTTGAATGCTGTATATCACAGAGACACATATACAATCGCCTACAGCAAAGTGTGGACCTTGCAGAATTTTTCAAATAAAACAGAAGGGCTAGCATACAGGCAGCAAAGTTAACAGCATCCTAAAGGCAACAATCAATTTACTATGCTTACTTGGAAATGATACCACTCTATTGTAACAAGAAAGGTAGCACAGCATTGCAACAGATGCGGGAGGTTGCAAAATGGATGAATTGTAATTCTTTGGGGATAAACACAGCCACTCTGCACATTAGCTGTATGTTCTGAGGCTCAATGAGCCAACCAAGGAGGCTCAAAAACACTCTGCAAAATTGCATATTCTACCTCTCAATGCTTTTTCCAAATCTTTATTTTGTTGTTCCTCCTTGCTGGAAGAGTTCGGCAATAAAGCAGAGCTAGGCTATGATGAAATGACAAGGAAATACAGGCAAATGCTCTTCTCCCTACCATTTGAATTTCAGTAACTTTATTGGTACTATAAAGTTTTAAAGTGCGGAGAAAGTTAGAACAATCAAGCGGTAGTAAAAGGCTGTGCGTTCCCCCCCCCCCTTGCCACCCCATAAAGGCTTGCTTTAGCTTTCATAATCCATTTACAGGTCCAGTGCATGAACCAGTTTCTTCGCTTTTTCACAGGGGCCTGCTTCAAAAGGAACTGCTCTTAAGTTTATATTTTTCTCCAGTGTTACCAAATTAATGCCTCAATCTTGATTCACTCACATTTAAGTGCCGGTTCACTTTTTTCCATTTATAAATAATTAGCACAACAGCAAAAGTCCTATACAAAAATGATGTTATAATGAGAAGAGTTAAAACAATTTAACAATCAACCGTTATCAGCCTACCTTTGATCAGTAGATGACGAGCTTGTTAAAATAGTACCTTCCAAAATAGCCTATAGTTGCTAGGAGACAAAGCAAGGGATCAGGAACTCTCCAGTTTGAATCTTCGCTTTGCCATGTACCCACTAGATTGCATTAAGCAGGCCAGACTTTCTCAGTCACCGCCACTTGTCTGCAATATGATCTCAGCCCTTCTTTAAACTTCCATGATTGTTGTCAATGTCAAAACAAGATATGTGTGTGTGAAATGCTACATAAATACTAAGTAGGTGAGATTATTGGTTTGTTTTTATTATATGTTTGTTTGTTTTCTATCTTGCTTTTTATGTTGTGAACCGCTCTGAGATCTATGTTTGAAGGGCGATCGGTATACACATTTAATAAACAAATTAACTCTGCATGGTAGTCTGGTATTATTATCCTCTTTTCGCAGTTGTGGATGGGGACGAGGCTGAGAATATAGGGATTTTCTCAGGTTAATCCATGACTTTGTGGACGTGGGGCTGTAACTCACTGGGAGCTTGCATGCAAATGGTTCTAGGCTCGGTGCCTGAAATTGCTCATTAAAAGGATCAAGGAAGAGGTGATGGGAAAGGTGTTGTAGATGCTTTGCTTTCAGAACAGATAACACTGGGCTCGATGGGCCAATGGTCCAACTCAGTGGCCTGGTTCAGATGTAACAGAAAATGGTCATTTCCTCCTTCTTGACTGAGTCATGGCAAGCTTCAGGCTCACTTGTTTCCTCTCACTTCCTTTTTTGTGCACCGAAAACATTTCCAAGTGAACATGTTATGGACTGAGCTGTATGCTACTTATGCCTTCTCCTGAATTTTGATCCAAAAATAATTTTTCTTCCATTCTGCTAAGGTGTTGCCTTTTTGAAAGTACTTTCAATAAAGAAGAGGCTTGAAGGGTTGCTTTTTTTTAAAAAAGTAAACATTTTCTTAACAAATATTGCTTTAAATCTGCATAACTGTTGTACACGGAAGAAAATGGAGAAGACAAAGGAAGTTCTTGCCTCTGTTTAATTTCTTCTTGCCTCCAAAGTATTTTCCTTTGGGCAGACAGTCATTGTGCCTTCTAATGACACAAACTTGAAGGGAAGTCGAAAAAAAGACTACAAACAGGTTTTATAAGCCTATCAATGGGAATATGTGGCTACAAATTGCTGAGTAAATGGAACAGCCTGCTTCCTAAGCCTGAGTCTGTGAGTCTTATGTCAAAGCATTTGGGGTGGGGCAAAAACACCAGGGGGTGTTAGGGATACCTGCTGAGCCCTAATTGGTGCCCACTGTTGTTAATGGCTTCCTGTGGCTGAATGTTTACTTGTCATTTGTTTTGAGCTTTGTTTCCCAGCTACTAGGGAAAAAATACTGACCAATTTTTTTTTATCTTCTTTTGAAAAAGTGTATCTCCAGTCCCAGAGTGCCCCTCTGCAGTTTGTCTCATGATACAAAATACCTGGAGTCCATGCCACACTCAAAAAGTTACCTGGTAAGGTACAGGTCTCAGCTTGCTCTTATTATTGTAAGTGGATGGTTTTAGACTGTGTTATAAGGGCTAGAAAGTATCCCAAGAAAGATTGCTATCTTTTTCTTTGGAATACCCAAGTGTTCTCTTTTATGGGATGTTGGTTCTGTATCTGTCACAGCCAGCCACATACGGTAGAAGCGTCTAATGTGAAAGTGAAGTACCCTACAATTCTGGACTTCAAGCAGCCAGAAATGAGCACTTCAAAATTTGATTCCTATTAAGTGTCTGGAAGTCGCCTTGGTTAGTTAGTTAGTTTATTATAGTCACACATCCAAAAGCATCCCAAAGCAATTCACGTATCGAGAGGTTTCCAAAAGCAATTTACAACAGTGAAATGTGAAGTGCCTAAAAATATTATATAAAACATTACAGCCATAATGTACGAAAAGTGTTCATCCGCAGAAAAAGTAATCTAAAACATAACACAATATATCTGCTTGCTCAGCACAAGATGAACACCAGTATCACTGCAAAAAAAATTCCTTCCAGTAGCACCTTAAAGACCAACTAAGTTAGTTCTTGGTATGAGCTTTCGTGTGCATGCACACTTCTTCAGATACACAGAAGTGTATCTGTGTATCTGAAGAAGTGTGCATGCACACAAAAGCTCATACCAAGAACTAACTTAGTTGGTCTTTAAGGTGCTACTGGAAGGAATTTTTTTTGTTTTGACTATGGCAGACCAACACGGCTACCTATCTGTAACTGGAACCAGTATCACTGAGCACTGAAAGCAATTAAATCCTTTCTGAAATTCATGGGCATTAAAGACTTCTGTGTATCCAGACAGCAAGCACAGTATAGCTTAACAGTGATTTCAACTTTCCCAGGCCTCTCACCAGAAGAAGGACAACAACTTCCAACTGTTTCCCATTGTTAATATCTGTTCAAGCCTGCCTACTACCCCACGATTGTTTGTTAGCACTAGGAAAATTATAAACTTGAAATTTAAAAATTGGCTACATAGCTGTTGGCAGATATCTGCTTTAAGTTACAGCATCACTAAGGAGTAAACAGTGGGTAAGACTTGACTTTTATGCAGATCTTCTTGATGATCTGCTGCCCTTATGGAGATTTGTTTTGTTTGAACTACAAATTGATCTTAAACAGCTACTCACATCTCTTTGTGAAAATGCAATTTATCTTCAGGAACTAGCTCTTAATCTACATATCTTAAAGTACTTTCTCAAATGCAGATTTTCACTTTTGGATACATAACAGGAAAACATTTCATAACCATGGAGAAAAATGACTTTCAGTTCAAAAGTAGTGTATGCACTGATACTATATATATTATTGCATCTTATCATTACGTGCAATTTTCTGTAATGGTCTCCTTCCCTGTATGCTATGTTCTGTTACTGAGTTGTTTAATTTGATTGTGGGTATGTGGCAACTTTCCTTGCCTATTCTAGGAAAGTAGTCCTGTTAGTCTGTAGCAAGAGACCTTTCATTCATTGTTGAAGGCCGCGTGGTCTTCAATTTGAATTAGCCTGATCCTCTATTCCCTTTTCCTCTTCTATGAAGAAACCCTTTCTGGGACCCCACATTTAAATTCTTCCCTGGTCCTCTTGCTGGCCCTAGTAGGACCAACTTGGCCAGTTAGCCCTGGTGATCATTTGATGTCTACTGACTGGGGTTTTTTCCCCTTTCCTTTTCCCAAAATGACCCCTGAATTTTTGAATTTTATTGATATTGATGCTGCATTTTATGTTGTATTTTATGCTGTTTTATGCTGTTTTTAAGTCGAATTTTAATCAATGTTTTATATTTGCTGTCAGCCGCCCTGAGCCCGGTTTTTAAACAGGAAAGGGTGGGGTATAAATAAAAATTTATTAATTTTTAAAAAATTGTTTAACTCATTTGCTTCCAACTCACTCACTGCAGATAATGAAGTAAAAGTAGCTGAAGAGATGTCAAATATATTTACCTTTTGTAGAAAGAAAAAGAAATTTACACTCATGAGAGCAGATGAAGAAAATAAATCCAATTCATTCACTTGTTTTATTCTAGGTATTGTCTGTTTTAAAGGGGAAAACGAGTAAAGCTAGTCTGACATTATATTCATTTGTAAATTTGTAAATAAAGGTTTCTTTGAACAGATGCAGTTAAGAAAGGATTACATGTTGTAACTTTTTTGACTGGAGTTTGTCTTGATATATTAAAACAAACTCCATACAGCTTATAGTTTGTCTTGGTATATTAAAACAAACTATAAGCTGTATGCCTAAAACCAATATTTTAAATCAAGTTGTATTTGCTTTCAATTAGAAGCCACTTCTGTATTTAGCACACAACATAAAATGCAAATCCTGTTAAATTGACAGGGATCAGATATATCCTGCTAATGTGATGCCCTTAATCTGCAGGCAAGTAAGCGGCCACAGTGGGACTAGGACACTCTTGTGCCCCGGCTTTTTAGCTAATGCATATACCATAAACTGCAAAGAATACTAGAAGGAAACACATATTTCAGCAATATGCTTCTGGTTTCGTTACAAGCATTGCAAAATCCAGTCTAGCCAGCAGTTTCTGTCCACCATAAATAGCATATCCAAAAGTATCACAGTTCCCATGATTCAGTATCTGATTAATTCGAGATGTGATACTTGATAAAATAAACCGTGTTAGATTTGGTTTTGGTGCTTGTCCATATGCCTCTCTTATTCTTTCTCATTCTCTCCTAAGATTATAGGATTGCAGAATGAATTAACTAAACTTGGAATCTTAAAGAACCAACAAGACAATGAAAACTTTTGGAAACTCATCCAGGCAGGCATTCATGGTTCAGAGTTCAAAGAAAAGCTTCCAGATATAAAGGCAAAAAGCTGAGTATCTTTATAATGTTTTCATTTTAGAACAGCTAAAAATGTCTCATCCCCATAGATAACAGTGTAGATTTAATGAACTTGGTGGGAAGCAGATTCATTCAGATCAGAGTAGTACCCCCAAGTACACACTTGTATTGAACAACTGCTTTCCATGATGATGACGTTTCCCTCTGGCAGTCCCCCCCTCCCATCAATTTTGTTATTCTAGCTAGGGTTTTTTTGGGGTGTGTGTGTTGTTTTTGAGATTGTACAACCAAAAACAGCAGAGTCTACAACCCCACCTGAGAGGGAGCTCCAGGAGGAAAATTGCAGGCAGGAGAAAAGTAGCCTTCTCCTATCTGCCTGCTCTACCCTAGAAACTGCACCCTCTAGATTCAACTTTGCAGTGAAGCCCACTCACATCATAAAGAGCTCATAACGGATAAAAAAGGCAAGCCGAGAGGAAGGCAGTGAGAGCAGCCGGCTCTGAGTGGAACAATGCCAAAATCAAAAGAACTTGTGTCTTCAAGCTCATCTGCCAGTGATTTGGATGGTGAAGTTGACAAAAAGGTGAAAAGGAAAAAAAACAAGCAGTGCCTGAAAAGCCTGTGAAGAAACAGAAAAGACTGGTGAAAGCTCCAAAGGTGCTGCCTCCTCCAAGCAAAGTAGCAACAGAGATGAGAATATGTTTCAGATTGGTAAAATGAGATATATCAGTGTTCGTGATTTTAAAGGTAAAGTCCTAATTGATATTAGAGAATACTGGATGTATCAAGAAGGTGAAATGAAACCTGGCAGAAAAGGTATCTCTCTAAATCCAGAATAGCGGAGCCAGTTGAAGGAACAGATTACTGATATTGATGAAGCAGTAAGAAAACTGTAAAGATGAGCCATGCAGAAACTCTATTGCTATAGGTTTAAGTAGTCTTTTTACATTGGCATTCATTTGTTTTCCAAGCTATTGCATATTTGGATTGCAAAACAATTTGCAAGATGAGCGCTTTTTTAATGTACATTAAAAGCGTGTTCTGGGTGAAGTTGAAAAAAATAAAAAAATAAAGAGCTCATAACCCACCTACTCTCAGAAGCCAGAAACATCATAGCCAGACACTGGAGAGACCTGTCCGGAATAAGCATGGACCAATGGTATCAAATAGTATGAGAAACAGCCTTACTAGAAAAACTAACCGATAAACTGAAACTGACATGGGAACAAATAGAGGAAGACGCCTTCACCCTGGTATTGCTCCCCTTTATCACATACACAGCCCAACAAGACAGCAACAAGAACTCCCCAACAGCATACAAATCAATATGGCTAACCTGATCCAAAAACACCCACCCACCCCACTCACATATGAAAATAAAATTCACCACAATCATAAACAAACAACCACACCCTAGGCCACCACCAACCTCTCTCACCACCAAAGGAATTCAGACGAATAGTAAAGAGAACCCACACAAGCGACGCTGACACAACCCCCCCCCACATGCACTAAGTAGAATAGAAACATCGCCACCTGACCCCACCCTCACTCACCATGCCCCTCCACCTCTTTCCCCTTTTCTTCCTAATGTAATACTATTGTCTCAACAAATGAAACTGATCTGTAGAAAATGTAACTTGAGAAAAGAGACATTGCACACACTTTTATAAACCAAGAAATCTTTAATAAAAATATGTTTAAAACAAAATAAAAGCAAAACTTTGCAGTGAAGAAGCAAGAGCAATAGGCATCTGGAAATACAAATTTGCTAGTAATATGTAATACATAATTGAGTTATTAATCACAAAGAATCAACAACAAATGACAAAAAACAATTTACTTAAATACTTTGTGTTTTTAATTGACAGTGTTAGCTACAAAGTCTTTGCCTCTGTCAACTTCAGCAAGAACCAGTCCAGTCCAGCCCGTTGATGGCTTTAAAAACAGTAGCAGCCTGAAAAAAGTAAGCAAATACGTGTTTCTGTTTATAACCTTGGATTTCTAAGCACTCTACTTTATGAGGCTTCTAATTATAGTCAGCAGTCTTAACTCAGCTTGATGGGTGGGTGGGAGATTTCTCTGATAAGATGCTTCATGTGATGCTTAAATAGGCCTTAACTTTTCTACATATCTGAATGAAGCTACATTTTATAGTCCTGTAAAATCTCTGGCTTCCTGAACTGTGTTGATATCAGGTTGTGTCCTGTTGCTTTCAATAAGTCTACTTAAGAAGGATTCAACCTATAATTCACAAGTGACTCCCCCCAGGCTAGAAGATTTCCCTAAAATGACCATAAGAGTTATTTACTCCTTTGATGCAATATTCTACATTTTTATAAGTAGATAACTCAATAATAATAATAATTTATTATTTATACCCCGCCCATCTGGCTGAGTTTCCCCAGCCACTCTGGGCGGCTCCCAATCAAGTGTTAAAAACAGTACACCATTAAATACTAAAAAGTTCCCTAAACAGGGAACAACAATTGCTTTCATGGGGTAGGGAGCACAATTGTACACAAAACACCTTTTGTGCAGGGCGCTCTGCTCAGTATTTAACTTCTTAAACTAGTAGTGGTGGGACAACCAGCTTGGAAGCATCTTCCCATCCCTGGATGCCTGTGTGTTTTAGGGAACACCTGTCTACACAACTTCTGGTGCCCTCTCTTGTTCATTACCTGGTATCAACAAGAGGTTCCATGGCTAAGTCCTGATTGAACCTTGATTCAGATTAAACCCTTGCTTTCCCTTTTTCCTCTGTGAGACTGGAACTGTTCTAAATGGGTACCGTGGCACAGAGTTTCCTGTCTGAGTGAGGAAACAGGAAGTATTTGCTGTGGTCAGGATGCAAAGGGGCAGGTGGTGTGCTAATGCCATTTGCTTCCACCATGGCGCTCAGGAGGGTCCCTTAGTTTCCCTTTCTGATCACAGAGCTTTGCACTGCACAAGAATCTGCTCCTTCAAGAATCTCTGGTTTTTAGGAGTGGTTTGTGAGGTGCTAGGTAGAGCTATAGTCAAAAGTGGAGTGCGGTGACTGGGAGTTCTGAAACTTTATTTCATCTTTGGAATCTCTCATCACAACCATTTGGATTCTGGCTGATCTCTTCAACATAAATGGGAGATTTTGAAGAGTGGTGATAAAATATAGGTGTCTTTTAATATGCTCAACATCTGAAAATCTCTCTGGCTCATTTAAACTGAGTTCAGCTAATGCTATATACACATGTTTCTATATTATATATTATTGTATTATGTTTGTCACTTGTAGATAACAAGACCCAGCAACTTGTCTCACATTGCGAAATGTTTCAAACTGAGAAACACCAGATGGGTCACTGTTTTGGTACATGAGAAGATGTCTTGTGTGAAACATGTTGTGCAGAATCTGTGGCCCAAGTCACATCCTGGAGTTTCTGAGCTCATGGGTCAGCAGACAGAGATACGACAGTCCAGAACTCAGCTTTCTTTAAATAACATGTACTTAGGAGTTCTTAGGAGAGAGGGTGAGCAGTGAAGAAAATGTTGGAGAATGATCCAAACTTGCCTTAGATTCTTAACCATCTCCCCTTGCCTTTCTCCATTTAATTGTGTTATGTTCACCAGCTGTGCCCTGAAAAAAGGATGCAGGGATGGCTGAGCTCTTCACATTTCTGTGTAATGATCACATGGGTGCTTAGAGAACATGAGGCTCTCAATGCCCCCTGAAAGGTGACCAAGGAGCCATGATCTGGTGTAAGATTGAAGCATATTAAAGAAAGCCAAACAGAATAAAGGTGGTAGAACATTAGCATATACAGTGGTACCTTGGGTTAAGAACTTAATTCGTTCTGGAGGTCTGTTCTTAACCTGAAACTGTTCTTAACCTGAAGCACCACTTTAGCTAATGGGGCCTGCCGCTGCGCCGCCGCTGCACGATTTCTGTTCTCATCCTGAAGCAAAGATCTTAACCTGAGGTAATATTTCTGGGTTAGTGAAGTCTGTAACCTGAAGCGTATGTAACCTGAAGCATATGTAACCCGAGGTACCACTGTAATGATCATGTCCTGAAAAAAAGTCATAATCATAAGATACTTTCTGAGAACAGCAAAATTTTCAAGGTCACCACAAACTGGGATGCTTGATACCATTTCTGACACCAAAGTTGTATATAGAACATGGCCTTAGAGGAGCTTGGAGACAGTCATGTAGCCCATCAAAGGGGCACAATAAACAGGTTGCAATTAGAGGGAGCAGATCCTGTATCTCACTCCAGCTGCTGGAGTTGGCAGCATTACCTCTTTATCCACCCCAACCCTGAATGCAGCTTCTGGGTTATATGTTCTGTTATTTACCCTCCTCCTCCTCAGGGCTGTTAAATCTTGGAATTTGGAGGGGCATTAGGGTAGATTTGGAAAAGCAGCTCTTACCTCCTTCTCCCCCTGAGGTTTCAGGAATGGATATATAGTTGGGGAGTGAAAAAGGAGTGAATTGGCGAAGCACTCTCCATTTCCCACCCTTGACAGGCGCTAAGCTGGTAACATAAGAATTCTTGTAGTGAATTGGTTCACATGGCCCAGCATTTTGCTTCTGAAAAGTGGGCCATTGGATACCTTTGAAAGCCCACAATCAGAGCATGAAGGTGATACTGGAGACAGATAGATAATTGCCCCCAGCCCCAGGTGCCGGGAGGCGTATATACTCTGAATAGGGAGGTTTCTTTTTAACCATCATTCCCTCTATTTCTGCTGTTCAGGTTGTGGGTGTTATTGCTGATGTAGTAAAAGAGCACCACTCAACAAGGAGATACTGGCTGGCTTGGGGAAGTCTCGAAAGCTTGCTGAAGTACAAAAATATTGAGAGGGGAAACTAAGGGAGGGGGGACTCCACAAACAGCCCAGTGGCCACAGAATGCTCACTGTTGTGGGGAGGCTGGGAGGGGGAATGGAGTATTTTGGAGGAAGGTATGGCTGTCTGTCTGGAACAGAAGGACTTCATACTTCAACATTTTCTTGCAGGTCCAAAATGTTACGACTAACAGCTGTTGACAAGACTTAATCCTTCATAAATTTGTCTTGCCCTTTAAAGATCTGCCTAAGCTAAATCATCACATCTTCATGTACTGATATCCATAAATTCCATGCCAGTAGTGCTCCTCATTCCTGAGAAACTCCCAACAAACCCCGCGACATTATTTAGAATGCGAAGAAAACGTTTTACTTTGGGTCTGCAACTGAAATCTGTTTGGGACTTGCCTTAGAAATTCTTTCCTGCAGGTACTTCTGGGTGACTTCTGTAATTGTTTCCCAACGGAGGGAGGATTAGTGGAGATGTCACCAAACCGTTAGGAGGGCCTTGTTAGCCTTTCATCCTACCCCAGTCAAAGGTAGGCCACATGGGCCCCTGTTTGCCTGGCCTAAGACAAATATATCTTGGCTGAATCCTTATTACTGTGTGTCTGAGGGAAGCAGGGGAAAGTGTTCGCAGATACGTGAGAAGAAAATAAAATGGAGAAATGGAGACGCACCCTTTATATTGTTGGAATGCCTAAGGGCCTCTTGGAACTGAATTCAAATCTTATTGGAGATTACAGTGTGATAGAAAGAGAGCTAAAAGCAAGAAATAAATAAAGCAAGCTATGTGCATCTAGCTTTCAGAAAGGCTTGCAGTTCATTGGTAGAGCTTCAGCTTTGCACTCAGAAGTTTCCAGATTCAATCCCAGACATTTCCAGGTGGGGCTAACAGAGAACCCCCCTCTGAAATCCTGGGGAGCTGCTATAAATAACGCTGACCCTAGAGAGACAAATGGTCTTACTCGGTGTAAGGCAGCTTCCTATATAGCCAAGGTGAGTAAACCAAATGAGGCCAAGTGATTTTATGAACTGTTCCACCTTTATATTTTCAACAACTGGAATCATCATAATAATAAATCTTTTAATTCACTTTGTTTCTGAAATCGTGGCTTTCTGATATGTGCTGAATTCGGCATCTTGACACTGTTCTTTTTTAAAAAGCATTTATTCTTTACCAATAACTGTAGAGGAAGAAAATAAACAGAGTGAGCATTGCAAATAAAGTGAGGGTTTTTTTTCATTTAGGAACCAGCCATTCTTTCCCATGTGTGCCATATAATACTCAACTTCTAAAGTTGCTCTTTTACTTCTCTTCTTCATTCTACCTGTTTTTGAGTTGTTGAGAAATACTTCTTGGCAGGAGTGGGGCGGAATATTCTCACCTGGGAGCCACATTTGCAAATGGAAAAGCAAGTGTTTGCACTAATAAACGACTTGTCTGAACAAGTCATTGCAAATCTTCCAGGATTCTTACTAATTTTGGTAATTGAATCCCTCCCTCCACCTGCTACTGCCTTATAGTGTACCACACATTCCTATTAAGGGGGTTAGAAGCTCAGTGGCAATGCTAGCAGCTGATTTTGGCAAGTCTTAGCCATTAACTACAGTCTGGCTGCACAAACTGTGGAAGAGTAGTTATACTGAGAAGTTTGAATCAAGTGCCAAAAAGCCATCTAAACCACTTTAATAAAAATATATATATTTTAGCTGGTGAAGCGTAGATGGGAACTGGGAGCATCCTTGGTTTTGTCTGCCTTGTGACCTAGGGCCTGAACATTTAGTTGTGAAGGCATCACTAATGATGTGCTAGTTCTCAAGGATGTATCAGAGTGCTGCAGCTAACACCCGATAATATCGCTCACTCCAGTGCTGGCACACTTTGACTGCTTAGTGCAAGAATCCTAACTAAAACAAAACAAGTGGTCGTCTTCTCATAAGTATCATATCCACACACCTCTAGAAACAAGAACTTTAAAAAGAGCAAGCAGTGCGTTTAGATATTTGGTTTGGTTTTGTGGACTTGCTTTTGTCTTGACCATTGGCATTCTTTTGTAATTTTGAAATGAGGTTTGGTTAGTTTTGGACTCCTACCTTTTGCTGTATATGATGTATAGAGCCATATTCCTTTCTTGCTGGATCAAAGCTGTGCAGTCTTTGTACCCAGTTCTTCATTGTCCTGTTGTTCTGAACAATGATTCTGCTGGAAATGGTGTAGGGGAGCCAAAGACTAGACCTGATCATCTACTATTCCACTGATTTCTTACCTCCAAATTCATACATTGTAGATTGTTGTTGTTGTTAATTGTCCACCCTTCATGGTGAAGGCTTCACCCTAAGGTCCCAGCATGGGTTACAACACTAAAAAAACCATAATTAAAAATTGTTTAGAACAACAATTGAAATCCATTCTTGCAACTCTGCTAAAATTCTTGTTGTTTTCTTCAAGGAGACTGATAAGATCTGGTATGAATTTTCTTAAATGTCCTCCTTTTGTTCTTCTCCCGGCTCCCATTACAAATGAGTTCACCTTGCTCCCTTCTGTGTCTTCACTTCCATCTCTTCCTGTGTTATCCCCCCCCCCCCACGGTTAACTTCTGTCTTCTTATAACTTGTTTTTCATCAAGACATCATCCTTAGAGCTTTCCTGTCCTCTAAATTGCTGCCCCATGGTTTGCTAGCATTGGATCGGCTTTGTATCCTCTCCATGAATGCTTGCCAATATGCCTTTAATTCAGCGTAGCCTATTGAAACTGAACTTAAGAAATTTTCCTTGAGTTACCGTATAAATCCTCTCTCCACTTTTCTTGTGCTGTTGATCATTCTGTCATTCCGTGACTTCTTTCCTTCTTGGGCTCCTGAGATTACGGCCACATTCTTCCATACTGCTAAACCATGAACTAGTGCTATGTGGACACTCTTTAATGAGCCTGAGCAAAATATCTGGCTCACACGCTCTTCCTTCCTTTCCACTCCGTCGGGCTTCTGCTGAGTTTAATTCCACTTTTAATGAATATAATCTTAGTGTTATGCTCAAACCAGGGATGTTGGTTTGAAATGGTCTCTGGCCAGTTTCATAATAAGCCAGCTTCAAACCACGGGTTATTCAGCTGTATTACTAAAGTGGCTTTTTAAGCCAGGATCCCTGGTTCAAATGTAACAACAAGCTGAGATTCTTTAAAAGAACTAAACTCATCAGAAGTCCTCCCCTGCAGGGTGGAGGAGAGTATATGAGCCCAACTTTTCACTTGGGTTCATTGGTGTTCATTCACATCGTGCTGAGCTATGCTTTTTGTATAACTGGGTCAGTATCAACTTTCAGTTCTCTAGCTTTTTCTCTAACATTTTCTTCAGCTCTTGCTTCACTTCTCCCTCTCCTTGAAGGAGGCCAAGTATTTCGGCATCTATTCTTCCTGTTGCCCTCTGTTCTGGGAGGTCTATTCTAAATCTGTTTTTTCATCTCATTCTGTGTAAGATAAGGTTAGCAGTAGCTAAAGCTAGGCCTCTGTCTCTGTGTCTCCAGCTTTCTCAACATTTTCTCTTGAATGGTTTACCATAATCTCAGTCTGAATTTAGACAAGAATACATCCCTCCTTATACTTTCCCATCACTACTCCAAATATCACCATTCCCCGGTCTTCCAAATAAACACAACTCTGGGATCTAAAAGATCTAGTAAAAACAAATAAACCCATTGATGCATCCTTCTTTCTTTTCCTGTCTGTCCTTGTTCAGTATTGCCATTTCTTCAAAACTTATAAAACTTTCTTCTTTTTCTTTTGCATCTTTTGCAAAAACAAAACAAGTTTTTTTTTTAAAAAAACCAACCCTTCATTCTTCGGCCATCTCTTACCTGAACAGTAACCATCTTCATTTTCACATTTATCAGATATTGGTGGGTTGGTGTTTTGTTTTTGTTTTTTAATTAATTCAATTTAAACTACATGCATCACAACATGATGAGCTTGGGTTGTTGTGTATAGGTTTTGTGTAACTTCTGGGTTTCTTTTAACTCTTATTTGTAGAATGTGGGGTGGGGAGGTAGAAGGAAGGGATGGAATATGGGATGCTTCTCAAAGAGAAGTTTATTGTTTGTAGAACAACAGTAAAATAGATGGCCAACATGTGGCACACAATCAGGAAGACTAATATCCCATCCTCTCTTTGTTCAGCTGTCTTGTGCTTAAACTAAACAATCTGCTGTAACAAAGATGTTTGCCATGGTTCCTGCATGCGTACATAATCAGGATACAGCAGTCTTGTGACTTAGGAGTTGTAACAGGAAACCTAGACTTGTGGACTTAATTTGTGAAACATTTTCCAATAAAGTTGTTTTTTGCGACTCAGGAGAAATTTGTTTAAAAATCCAACTAGTTCCCCTGAGTTACAATTGTGGCATCACGGTTTGGGATGGTATAAGCAAGTCAGGAACAAACTAGCTGCACATTCAGCCTTTTTGCAAAATTTGATGCTGCCCTGATTTGTTTATAGCAGTAGTAATAATATTAGTTTGCATGGCATTCTTTAACTGAAAAGAAAACCAATCTGTGATAGTCACACATGCAATAAAATCTCTGTTTTGAAACCTTAATTTTTCTCGCAGTCTTGCTTAGTTTATTCTTTCTGTCTCGCTTACGATCGCTGCCCTGATTTCACGGAAGTGCAAAGAGACCTATCCAATTGTCCTTGCCCCTTTGGTTCGCAGTATTCACATGTATGCTGCAGCCATGTGGGAGCCACCATGGGAAAGTGGCCCCCATGTGAATCGTGGGTTGGGTGAAGAGGGCTAATACATCTCACCACATATCTCATCCTTCCTCATGTTCTGTAGGAAACGCAGAAAGAAAATGCACGACTCCCTTTCACTTCCTTTGTTGCTGTTTCCATCTAACGTTTTCCTAAGGCTCTGGGAAGTTTGGATGCTTTATTCTCAATGCTTAACACCTGGGCCTTTCACTTTTGTGCATTTTTACACTAAATATCCAGAATATTAATAAAGTGATGAAAAAGTGTCGTTTCTACATGGCAAAGGACCAGGTAACATTTCCCTCCATCAACTGGAAGAGTGTTTAAAGCAACAAACTGGAAGTGGGGCACGTAGCAGAAGTGTTGGTAATAGCACTGGGGTAGGATAGGTGCTACAGCCATTTTATCGCTCGAGCCGATCGCCACTCTGATCCAATTACTGCTCACGTGGGCCGATTTCTCCTAGTTGTTTGGGCTAGCAGCAGACAACACTGGAATTCCCACTGCCTCCATAGAGATTGTGAATGGTTGGGTTCTATTAGTCACATGTCCTGAAATGACCAATGAATGCCCCCCTTGATATCTATCAGTTTAGTTTGACTGTTTTCATTTGCACCAGGGCTAATTCAAATTTCTATTAAAATGCATTACTTTTCCAGGCAGAGTTTGATATATATATATTTGCACTATGAACAAGAAGAGCTAATTTATCTGATTTATGTTTTTTAACCCCATTGTTCTTTCTGGTCATTTCATATTTTTTATTGCCTTCTATAGTTTGCTACAGAAAGGTGAATCCTGGTCACAGTTATAAATATAGGAATCCATTTGAAAATGTATCTTGAACACAGAGTCTCTGTAAATCCTGTGTATAAATCTCTCCCCCAACATCCTTAGATGGGAAAACAGAGTAAAATCACTGGTTTATAATTCTGGTTTATCATTCACTGGGAAAGTAAGATCTAGTAAATATTATTATTGTTCACTTTATTTTAGTATGCTGCTTCATACTATGTTGATGTTAGAAAATCTCAAAGTGGTTGACATCACAGCAAAAAAACAACATTATATAAAAATACAAATTCCAAATTCAGTACAGCAGCAGCTGCTGCTAATCATCATCCACATTTTTAATAATATAATTAAGTAGTAAATATCTAAACAATGTACATAAGTCCATATATTTTTATGCAATAGAAACAGGTGTTCCTTGACTTGTCTAATGTGCTACGAGGTTTAGGATTATATTAATGAAAAATAAGATTTATCCCAATTTATTGATGAATAGATTCTTCATTCTTCCCCGTCTGCCTTTTCAGCTAAATAAGTTAAACAAGAACCATAAATCAGTGTTGTTCTCTATTTTGGTTATTTGTAGTTTTCAGCTTTGAGGCAGGCAAGTAAAATTTTAAAATACTATGCATTTAATAAATTCATCATAAAATTGTGAATTGTGTGTGTGCTGAGCAACAGAAATCCAGCATTGATTCCCCTCTTATTTTCAGAGTACAGATTCTTTGCTGCCGTCTGTTGACACCTCCGAGTCTCCAGCTTTTAATGAGAGAAAACAGGTAAAGACCCAGCGAGAAACTGAGCAGATGTTTTCAATGATAGGTGAGAAAACCTCAGGCTTTCCTGTCCTTTAAAAAGATAAGATTAGAACAGGTGAGTTATACTTCTGGTACTCCTACAATTATTCTCCTTGGCATTGCAAAACAGTTCAGTAGCTTGCGTGGGAACTGTGTTCAAAATACTCCATTACTCTGACAACAAATGCACAGTTTTGTGACATATTTGGTACATAGAAAGTACCAGATTATAGTCTGAGTAGCAATTCCCTCTGACCGCCAGACATTTAAAAAAAAAAAAAAATCTGTCAAAAACTGTAATTCACTGAAGACTACTGCTTTTGTCAGAATTCCATCTAGAGCCTGTTTCTTACGTTCTTCTTTATTTAGGGCTTCCCGTTTCTAAGGAAATTCCACAATTTTATCAGATCAACATTGCCCTCATTTCCCATCAGTTGACATGGCAACTGATGACATATGCGACTTGCTCCCATAGCAGCACAAGGGAAGGGGGCATCTGAGAGAAGGTTACATACCTTGCTCCCACATTGCCGTTTGCATGCTGCTATTGGAGTATGAATGCATCCATGTGAAATGAAACAGGATGAACCAACAACAACAAATGATTTGGGGTGCAATCCTATTGTCTCTAGGACGGCACCCCAAGGGCCATAGGATCTTGCAGAACTCCGTTTCTGCCAGCAGAGGGAGCTCCAGAGGGGGACACCTTGTTGGAGCTACTAAAACCTTAGCAGCTGTCCCTCCTCCACCGCTGGTAGGAGGAGGAAATAAAGCTATTGGGAAGGTGGGAGTCCACTGGATTCAAAGCCCTCCTCCCAACACATCCTAGGACAGGTTGAAAAGTGCACATTCTGCATCCTCTAGCCTGCTCTGTAATTATGGTAAATCTTAAATATGATTCGGCTTGTGCTAGTTTGAATTTTCCCTTGTTCTCATCAGGCTTTGTTTGCAAATATTGTTTAGTAGCCAGTCGGCCCACACACTTCTTTTTTAGTCCTTTTTTGGTAAATTGATGACCTTAGAGGGTGTGGAACTCCATCTTTCCCAGTGTTGTTGTCTGATCGCCTAGAGTCAATTCCTACTCACCCAAGGTGAGCAGGAAAAGGACTTTGTATACAAACCTGCATTAGCCATGCAAATATTTATTTTATGATCCATAGATTTTAATAGCTTTTGCTAATCTGTTGTAATGATTACTGATTCATGTTTTGAACTAACTGCCAGAAGTGGCTCGTTGAATAACATTCCACGCCAAAATAATTTCTTAATGAAGAAGACGTAATTATTTCATTTTATTACATAGCTGACCAAAAGAAGGGAGTTATTTTAGTAGCTTAGACTGCATGTGAGGCTCAACTTTTTGCACCATTTGGCAGAGAGGTATGAGATTTTGTTTCTCACAAGTCAACATTACCATTTAGCTGCTCAAACAGAGAATAAGATCATTACTTATTCCTAGTGGATGGGTAAATACGGGTAAGTCTGGCAGTCAAGGAGAACTGCCAGAGCAATGACTCATTTTAATATTTTCCTCTTTTTTCTGAGAATCCCATTTTCAATATCTCACAGAAAGGAGATGTGGAGCCAACATATAATCTGCCCTTTAGCCTCTCCTGCTACCCTTTCTTTGCTGTGTGGTCAGAGCCTTGACATTAATGCCATTCCTGGTGGAGCCTTTTTTTAGTTTTCATAATTTAGTTGTATACTTTTTTTCAAACATTCAATGGATGATGAAATAGAATATAAAATACAAAATTCCATTCCAAGCAAGGCTAGCTGGCACAGAAAATTTATATACACACCAGTTTTTACTTATTCCCTCTGTCTGAAGCACTGGGTGCCTAGTTTTATTTCCTGCATATATATGGGGAGAGAGAGAGAGAGAGAGATACATAAACACACACACACAAACCCTACTTTTTCTCTTGGTTGTTTTGTTTTAAAGACTGTATTCTGAAATAATATGTTCTGGTGATAACACTATTACCAAAACATTTTTAAATCACTGGTTTTTCATTCGCTTCAGTGCAGTTCAGAGGAGTGCACACTCAAGATGACAGAGGGTCTATTTTTTTTAATTTGCCACTGACTCATAGCACATAGCAGTTGTGGTAAAATCAGAACTACTTTCCCACTGGGAATTAAATGTGAGCAGTCCGATTCAGCTAGAGCTAATGGTTATTGTGAATCATTGAAAGCCTTCTAAGTTAGTTCCTCTGGTTTTAGTGAGGCCTTCAGTATAATTCCACACATTAACTTGGAAGTAACTATTTTCAGTGGGTCTTACTGCATAGTAAACACGTTACAACTTCATTCAGCCTTAGTCACAACTAACTTTATTTGGATTGTAGGAGAGTTGTGTTAGGTCTTCAGAAGAATAGATTTTTGCCTGCCTCCATCCCTGCTTCCAGCAGACAGTGAAGCCAGCCTAAACAACTTGGGAGTTATCATTTGATTTAGACATTTGCAAGGTGAAGTTAACGGGAAAGTAAAAGTCTTCGCTGTTGTGTGACTCCACTTCTATGTCTAATTAGAGTCTCAAAGCATTTTAAAAAGCCATATAAGGTGAATCATCTCAGTAAACAGCCCTTGACGTGAAAAACCAACACCTTTGCGGTGGGGAGGATACCTTTGCAAACAAAGAAAGGTGGCTTTCTGCAGTCAGCCCTTTTCTCTAGCAGCACAGCATGGGGTGACGGAAAAATCATTAACAGTCTCATCCTGCACTTTTCCCTTTTCCACACCTGCATATCACCATCCCCAATGCTGTAGCTTTATGGGCCATGAGGAGGCAGATTTGCCGCCATGAAACTCCGGAGCAAGCTGACAGCTGCAGAACAGCAGACACTAAAATGTAAAGGAGAGGAAGGGGAGAGATCACCTTTGAAGTCTACCAAAAGAAAAAGGGGAAGCAGAAGGACTTTGACCATTTCTTTTTTTAATTATCTGTCTCAGGTACATTAAGATATGAGCCACTAAGGCAGGGTTTGTTTTGTTTGGAAATACGCATGTTACAGTAATGTGTGGGTTCATAAGACCCTTCAAAATAAAAATGTGCATTTAAAAATTACTATAGACTAGTGAGGGAAATGAGCCTTTTGAGCTAAAAACAGGTTGCATCACGGGGTGAAAATAGCAGCTGGGGGATTTTTGACAGGAAACTGGATCAGGAGCAGGGCTTTGCAGCTGTATATCCTTCAGAATAAAAGTGAAAGTATTGAACACATATTTTTTTAAAAAAAAACAGGATTAAAGCAATATGTAGCTTGGTTTGTGGAAGTCTGAATATTTTCAACTCCTATCCTGGTGTATAATTAATTGACCTTCTTTCCCTCCCACCCCATCACTTTGAATAAAGTCACAGCAGTAGATAACAGTTGCAGTGCATTAACCTGAAATTACAAGTCAAACACCTCAATAAGAAAAACTGCCTTATCAATGAACTCAAGGTTGGCCAACATTAAGATGTCTTATTTCCATGGATGCCCTCTATTGGTTTACTGCAGAAAAGCATTTACCAATAATTATTGAATAGACGGCTTCAAATATTCTTGAATGCTGCCGGAAGTCAGGTGATTTACTGTTTTATTCCACAAGAGTAATTACTTTCGTGCGCTGCCTTGGCTAACAGTTTATCTTTCTTACATCTTCATAGACTTTAATGGCTTTTTAACAATAATAATTTTAAAAAACCGTTGGCAGAACCGAAGAGGCAGCTGTGTTAATTTGTCACAGAGCAAAAACAGAAAAGAAAAATGGATCATATGGTTGCCTTTGCAACCTCTTTTTTGTGGTGGGGGTGGGGGGGTGTTTTCCCCTTGCTTACAGGTGGGTTTCTCCCCCAATTTTCCTCCCACAGTTGCTGCTTTCTTGGCTTTCTGAAGTGCAGAAAAGACTTGGAGAGCCATCTAGGACTCAGCAGGAGGTGAGTTCTTTCCTGTAATCTTTATCAGGCTTGCCCCATCCCACCTCCGTCTTCAGAGGATGATAGTAGTAATAGTTGTTGTTGTTGTTTTGAGGTGGGGGGGGGACACGGGTTAGTGGGGGCAGTCCTATTTATTCTCTGTCTGGAGAAGCCAGAGTGTTACAGTATGGAGGAGAATTTCCGAAGAGTCAAGCTCAAGCTGAGGCCCAAAGGAGGAGAAAGGGAAGCCTTTATTATGATAATAGCGATGAGCTGGGTAAAAAGAGCTCTCGCAATGGGGCTAGGCTACTGTGCCTTCAGCTGCTTCCTGCTAGGAAGATTCACAAGTCTCCTTTACATAGGATGATTAGAGAACTACAAAGTCAAGGGGAGTGGTGGGTTTCACTCTCTTATCTGGAGCTCATCCAACTCAACAGTTCTGACTCTCCAAGATTGCTGCTTTTATCAGCCCAGACTGTGAGGTTACCGTATATTAAATGATAAATGTTTGGTACTCAATATAGTGCCATTTACTCTCCCAACCCCCCTAAAATCATGGGTCTGATACCGAGAAGCAAACAAAGCCCTTTGCACTACAATTGATTTTGTTGGGACTTTATTTAACAGCAGCAAAACTAGGACTCAGGCATTGATACCGTTTAGTTTGCCTAATTGTCCATGCACCCTTCATTGTAAAGAGGGGTGAGGGGAATTAGTTAATTTTGGGGAAGCTTGCTCCTTAACCATGCCAGGGGTGGGTCAACATTGCCTTTATTTCAAAAGGTTCCCCTCTTGCATTTTCCTCCAGGATACTCAGCATCCTCCTAAAGGTGTAATCAGGCTTCCTAATCAGGTATGTAGATAGAGAGCAGGTTTGGGGCTGCCTCCCATTTAGGACTATAAAATACCGGCTTACATTGATTACTTTTTTCCTGTAGGTCTTTCTTTTGAAACCCTTTTATATTATTACTGTTTCATCATTTAGATGATTTCAGACCGCAATGTTTCCCAAGGAATAAGAATTGAGCATCATATGTATTGTTATATAAGCATGTGGGTCACAATAATAGATTAATATTGTTCCTGCATATCAACTCGAAGTACTGCAGTGATTTCTGCATTGATAGATTCATTGGATTTTATGCAGTGAGAGACAACAGTTCTTCCTCTTTAAGTCATTGAAAAGTATAGCAGATGTTTTGTTTAGGCCAATTTTTCATGTTGAAATTCGACTGGACTGACAAAGTGGGCCTTTTAATTATACAAGGACAGAGTAAGATTTCTGAAATTTTTGGTAGAGGGTAGAAAACTATTGCATTTTAAAGTAATATGCATATGACATACCTGTCTTTATTATTTTGCTATTCAGGTCAATAAAAATGTGAAGTAGTATGGTAAAATACATTGTCTGTCTTGCACACTGTCACATTTGGTGGGTGCCACTGAGTGAATGAAAGTGTTCAATGGAGGTCTGAAGTTTTGAAAAGGACCTACTTCACCCAAACCCTGTTCTGTTCGCCACTGACATCTTACAGTGCCATCTTAACCACATCTACACAGTCCCATTGAATCCAATGTTTCTTGCTCCCAGGGTACTGGGGTTACAACTGCAGCCTTAAATAAGTTTTGAATAGGAAGTTATCTTAGGCCCTTTGTAGTGGTATTGCTTTAACAAGAACATTATTTAGTACTGTATAATAATTAAATAGCACTTGAGAATGTTCAAAACACATCATGTACATTATTTTAGCATTCCTTACAAAACTGCCCTGAGAGGTAGACCAATATTTATAATCACCATATTGCAGATGAGAACCAAGGCTGAAAAATGGTGGTTTACCTTTGGCTTCCTAGTCAGTTGGAATTGGGCCAAAGTTGTGATTGCTTTAAGCATATTCCGGAATCTAGATTTGGCCAGTATCTTTGTGGACCAAACTTTGACATTATCCCAAGTGCTTGATCGGGCTAGATGTTAAACAGAGGAATTGGCTGGGGATGGGGGGCAAGAAAGAGAAATGCAATTAAGCGTCTCAAAACTTCCCAGCCCCACAATTTACACTGGGGATAAAAGAAAGTACTCTTCATTTTATCCATTTCCATTGCCTCAAGGAGGTGATGTTTATCTGCACAGAGTTCCTGGCTAAGGAAAGTTTTGCTCCTGAGAAAAGCTTGCAATACAATTAAGGATGAGATGAAGGAGCCAAGCCATGAATGATCTACGAACAATTTATTCTGGAGTACTGCTGGCATTGGTGGCTTTACTGTACATACGGTTGTAGAGCACATATATTTGTAGATAGAACTGGACTTTGCCCATGAATGCAGCTGTAAGATGTATGCCTGCTGCTATGCTCACTTTGGGTTGTGTCAAGTGCTGCTGTTCCGCTCATGCAAGAAACTTTCATTTGTGCAATAGGACTTCCCCTTCCTCTCTCCACCCCCAGCCCCACACATGCCCTCAAAATCTTCTCCATAAGGTTGGAGAACCCTCCAGATTTTGGGAGCACACAGGGGGAGGAGAGGAAGGGGAAATCTTGATGTGTAAGTAGAACTCTGCCGAGGCAGCTCTGCATACAACCCTGTGACTTTCCCCTGCTTGCTTTATGAAAGCTGCACACACACCCTCCTCAAAATTTCAAGGTCTCCATGCAGGTCATCCCTCCAGGACATAACATCTCAGTGGTACTGAAGCAGGCTGCAACCACAGTGTCACTTTCTGTCGGTGGCCAGTGATGATATTCCCATTCTTGTGGTGCTTTCCAGCATTTGTAAATACTTTTAGCATTCCTCTCCTTTGCTTATCCCTGAGCTGATTGAGATGGAACAGAGCCTTCAAAGCTGATTCACCTAATGCCATTCTACATGTAGCACCAAGTGAACAAGCCCTGAAAGATCAGTGGGCTCACATGCTCTCTTCTTCTCCCTTTGCACACCGCATTTCTCGCCTTCCTTTCCTGGTTTATGTCACACCATAGTTCATAATTCCATTGGAACTGACAAACTCTGGAAACTGCCTCACAGAGACAATTCTCATGCATTCCATATTTTATCCATTAAGTAAGGCTGAGGCTCCAAAAAAATGAATGTGCAGATTGTCAGGATGTGATTACATGCTAGGAGATGATATATTTATTAGATATTTTCCTTCCTTCCTTCCTCATGTTTGTAAGTTCAGCAGAGTGCCATCCCTTTGCAGCTTAAAAGGAAAACTTAGATAGGCTAGTGTATAAGCTCTAACATGCTTTTTTATTATTACTGACAGAAGAAAACATGCAAACAAAATCGGAAATATGAACAGCAACTTCACTCATTGCACCATATATATTATTTTTCTCTTCTTAACATGGCATTATCCAGGAGGTGAGTTTGGTAATAACTTTGCACAACATAGAGGCAATTTGTCTAGTATACCACTTTATAAATGGCTTTTATGACTCTGTGCTTAAACTACCATGCTGGCAAAGCCTATTGTAGTTTTGCCAAAGCTAAAAGAAGCCATTTAAGGATCACGGTAAAAAGCAGTTGTGATTTCATGCAACTAAATCCCATAAGTCATCAAAACTTACTTTGAAATAAACCTAGCCAGATTTGAGTTTATTATGGAAAACAATGATGTCTGTTCAAACAGTTGTTGCATTAAAAGCTTTCAAAAGAGGCTTTAAAAATGTATAGACAATGAATAACAGAATTTTGAGAGGCTATAAGTCTTTTTTTCAGAAGAGTTAGGGTGAGGCAATAGCAACCGAGTCTAGCAACAATCATCCTAAGTATTCATAATCTGTTTTCCTGAAATGATGGTGAAGACTGTTATGGTCACAGCTTGCAGCCTTGATAAATATCTAAAGTAATGTTCATTCAGTGGAAGTAAGCAATGAAATAACAAGTTGACCATCTTTGGCTAGACTTGGTAGCCAAACCAAAAACCATAGTTCTCTGTCCTTGCTCCTTTTGTTGCTGAGGTTTTCTGGCTGCACAGCTGCTGACGAAGGTCCTGCCTGGGCACAAAGAGTTTGCCCATTTGCTTGCTTCTTTGCTAAATAAATAAAGCCCCTCCTCCCTTGCTCTGGACAGGCCTGATACATTCTCATAATAGTAGATCTCTCAAAGAGATTCTTTGGACAGTTTCCTTTTTGAATAGTAGTGGGTGGGATTGTGTATAATACACAGAATGAATGTTTATATGTTTCCTTTAGCAGCTCAACGGATTAGACAAAAATTCATTGCACAACATGTGGGGTCCAGTGAGCTGGGGATCACCTACACTAAAATGAACTTCAGCCTGTTTTATTTTTGTGATGCTCAATGTTTTTAGCAAATATATTTTGCTGACTGTCTGTCTTGGTGAGCTGGCCACACCCAAGGAGGACAGCCTCCTTATTGCAAAAATGGTGGTTGGTGGCCAGCGATACGTATATTGAAGCCCACATCAGTTCACAGGAACAAGAAGGTACCGGCAGGCTGTTGTTCAAATTAAAAATAACTCTTACATGTGTACAAAAAGAGAGAGATGGTGCCAAGAAACATTCTTAGGGTCAGTTGTGGAAGGATCAAACTCTAATGAGATCCTTTGTGAGCAAAATGTGTAACTCTGCTGTGCCCCAGAACAACCATTGGCTTCCTTGCTTTCATGCACACTTAAAAAACCAATAATGCATTGCCACTAAATCAAGTAGATTTAAATCTATAATCCATGTTTCTTTTCTTGATTTGTTATTTTTTGTTTGGTGCTATCTAGGCTCCTAGAACAAAACGGACAGTTTACAGATGTCAGAACACAGCAGAGTGTGCATGATCTGGTTAGTAATCACAACAATCAGCTACGTATATATCATTGAATTGTAGAGTTGGAAGGGACCCCCAGGGTCATCTAGTCCAACCCCCTGCAATGCAACATGGGGCTCAAACCCACAACCCTGAGATTAAGAGTCTCATGCTCTACCAACTATATATGTTGCATTCTATACAGGCAAACATTACTCAATATGCCTTTGATTTGAATTAGGCCCCTTTCTTTGTTTATGCGACTTGATACTAAAGGTTATAACACTAAAGTAAACTTGACTTACCTGTCGAGTTTTAAGAAATAATTCGCCAAAGTGTGTTAATGACATTTAGCACTTAAACACACCAGCGGATGTTGAACTCAGCACTGAATCACTGTTCAAAGAGCACACTTTACCCGGGATATAACCACATGGAAACTCTGTATTTAGGAAAATAAGAAACCTACATTTACTGCAGGAAATACGTGCTCTCCGGCATCAGTGTGGCATGTCCCAGAGGCATCCCTTGGATTCTGCCACCTGAGGCAGATGCCTCAGTCTGCCTTATGGATGGGCTGGCCCTGTTTGAGACTGGTCAGCAACTGAAGCAGCAGGGCCCAGCTGACAAGAGTAAGAGTTTTCACTACCAGTAGATGAATCTTGGAAGAGAACCAGAAAAAAATATGCCTGAGAGATGGGTGTATTAACAACTACTACAAAATTATAATGGGAGCCATCCTGATCCTTCATAACACCCCCCCCACCTGACACTTTGGAGGTTGTGTGTGGTCAACTGTATTAAGTTAGAAGTATCCACAGTTCTCCTCTGCTAAGGTTCAAATAGCAGTAGGTTTGAGTTTTGAATTTAGTAAATAAGATTGTTAGATTTCATGTTAGACTCATTTTTAATCATTTTAATTGCTTCAAAATGACATTTTTAAAAGCCTTGCATTATACTAATGTTGCTTTCATTGTCTCAAGATGAATTATTTGTATCCAAATTTCTATCAACGATCTGGAACAAATCAGAGCAACAGCTTAATAGAGGAAAACTTGGTTCCACCTTTAGTAAGTGGAAACCTGCAAGAAATGCATTGCAAGGACTCCACCAAAATATTAAGAATTTCAAAAGAAAACAAAAAGATGTTGAAGCAACATAAAGATAGAAGTGATCTTGAAATGTGAGTACACTTAACCTGTAGACTGAGGCTTGTGTCCATTCAGTATTTTACCTGGTAGATGGATATCACAACTTAAATGAAGTTGTAATATCTAATAATGTTATTTTCAGTTTCCCTGATAGAGTTGAAACTCAGAACATCTCTACCTTGCCCAGCCTGAAATGGTTCCTGTGCCTTTAACTCTGGGAGATGTTGCTCTCTATGCTCAAGTTGTGGTAGGTTCATACTTCTTTCTTCCTTTCCTCTATCGAGTCCATTACTTACTATGATGTCAGTAATTCACAGAACCTGGTTTATCAGGTTCATCTAAAAGAAACCTTCTTGGAAAGGAAACAATGGGTCTTTAATGTGAATCGACATTCTGTAAAATAAAAAAATGCAGTTTTCATACATCTCTTCTCAATGCTATTATAATTCTGTACAGACCCAATTTGCAGTATCTGTCAGACATTTCGAATTAATCTAATCTCTCTCTCTCTGTGTGTGATTTTTTTGCAATACAAGTCAATTAGGCCTCATATCTGAGAGGTAAAAAATATTTTTTTGTGAAGTACAACATGCTTTTTCCAGCCATTTATATAGAGGATCAGTACTACAAGTGTTGGCATTGTGAGCTGTTGCTCAAGCTTATATTACTGTTCATGCCCATATGCTATTTTCTTGGTTGTTAAATTGATCATACAATAAGGTGTATATTTATCAATATACAGCTGAACTGTATATTGTTGCTTTTTAGGAAACCACACCATTAAACACATATTGGACAAATTATGTCGACAGTGACTCCATCATCAACAGTGAAAAACAGTAACTACAAGTGGGATCTTTTGAAAATGATCTGCTCTGTAGATTATTGTGATTAGTGTTGAGATTGGTGTGTGTGTAAGTGTTCCCCTACCATCCCTTTCTTTACTTAAAAGTTGAGAACATTTTTGAAAAGATAACTATATAACTTTTATTAATGCATAGGGTTCTTTTTTTCTTTGTTGAAATATTGGGCATTGCAATGTATTTCCCCCCAAAATGTGATTTATTGTTATGCATTTATTCTCTCTCTCTCTCATAACTCCATATGCAAGTCTTGTTTTAATTCCTAAAAACCCCCACAACCCTTTGCATCCTTTCCATTGTGTTGCTTAAATCTGTAGGGGCATCAGTTGTGATAAATACTTTTTTTAAATAAATAAACAACAACACTTTTAAATTCCAAGTTGTGCAAGATAATACTATCATTCTTTCATTAAGAGGATGAAGAGCACAAATGACTGTTCCTTCCATTCCCTACTCTTAAATAGGTTTCTTTGCCAACCTCCACATGTACTAAGGACTCTTCCCAGAAACTCTGAGGTTCTTTCTTCCACCACCACACCAGTGCCAGAGGGCACAGGAGACAGACCAACCTTGCTGGAACACACACTTCAGAAACCAAATGTGGGAACTTTAACTGCGAGATCATCATTTCCAAAGGGCCTTGCCTATGATATGTTTACAAGAGTATTTCATCCCCTAATAGGCTTCAGTCAGTGCTGGGCTAGGCCTCCAGGTTACCTGCTCTCTGCTCTAGGTCTTGCTCTTCAACCTTAGGGGTCATGTGGGAGTTCCATGACTGGAAACCACTAGAGAGCGATCTGAATTGGGGTCATGATGCAGGGGGCAAGGGCAAATCCATTCCAAGACATTCGGCTGCCTGAGGCAAAAGACAATGAGTGGGCACACACGGCCAGTTCCTATGTGCAAAGACTGACTGGACTGGTAAATACATCTTACTTGAGCAATGACAACAGTCGAGCATCTTCCAGTGCACAAGACCTCCTCCCCCACCCCAAAGCTTTTTTTAAGCTGTGAAGGGAAAGATTTATGAGCTAAGCCTGTAGATTTTTCACTGTATGGCTAACAGCAGAGAAGAGAAACTTTCTGACAGTGTGTGGTAGCTTCCCCGAAACTTACCTGATCTTGGCACTTTGCAAATTTAATCAATTATGCCCTTTAATACCCACTTCAAAAGATTTCTGCCTTTGGGTTTTGTATAGCTACAATTGATCAAATATATAGTCTTAAGGAAACATGTGATGTTCAGAGTGCCTAGCTTCCCAACAAATCATGTGCTGTGAGATATTGCAGTTTTGCTCAAATGCCTGCCATTGGTTTGTAGGTAGATTAAACTGATTCTCCTGCTCAAATGTATATCCAGGAGGATGCTGATGCCACAATGCCCGCTACCTTTCATCTGGGGCCACCGATTGCCACAGCTCCTTCCAAGATTTGTCCTTACATTATAGGCCAAGTGAGAGGAGTGGCAGAGGATGGGAGTGGGAGATGCTGGTGAAGCACTAGAAGCCACAGCTCTAGATGCAGAAGGTGGCCTACCATGCTCCCTCTAAGCTCACCTGCTGCCCTCAGTGAGGAACACCACTAGGGTTCAAGGAAGATTTATCTGCCAGTCGCATTGGCTTTTGTACAGTATATGGAAAGTGGGGTGGGAGCTCTTGTCTTTCGCCTCAGACAACCAGACACCTTGGGCTGGTTCCTGGCTCCCATTCAAAGTAGCTGCTGCAAGGAAAAAGGAATTATCCCTGGTGAATATACACCAATCTTCTGATACTTCAGCTATGCTTGAAAGACGAAAGCAAGTTGCAAATTTTAGAAAGCAAACCATAAATGATGAATTCAGTTTAAACTATTGCCTGCACAGTTGATCAGTCTCCAGTTTTAGAGCTTGTGAAATTGTTTTGTGGTTGGTTATTTCTCGCTTGGGTTTGATGTGGGTGGGTGTTTGTATGTGGTGTTGCAGTTTTAATAACAGGCAGTGCACCAGTTTCATCTTATTTGAGCATTCTACGCCACTGCGCTCTTTAAAAAAATACATGCTTGCGCTGTCTAGCCCAAGTTACAGTGCTGGTTGGCTGCTTCTGTATGGTCCCTTTGCTTCCATGTTCCATAAAAGACATCACAGCATCTCGAAGCTGCCATATATATGCCCACATGATAGTGCAATCCAGATGCTGTAGATTCTTTGAAAGCAAAATACATGGATCCAACACAAGCAACCTGTGAATAAGAATAGATTCCCTGTGTCCCATAGAAAGTTTAAAGTTCATCAAGAGTCTTTCATATATAATTTCCCACCCATCTTTCTCCTATTCATTTCTTACACACTCTTTAATTTCCATTTCTTTCCTTCAAACAGGCTTCTTTTCAACTGCTTTTTTCTCTCCCTATATCCTTTCAATATCACATTACAACATTCTCTGCAAGTTCACCTAAATCTGCTATACTGAATAGTTGGTTGCCGACATTTTTATTGTGCATTAGTAAGGTGACACACAGAAACCTGTGGGGGGTGGGGGTAATCTCCCCCAAACTGGCCTTTATGAATATTACTTAACCCCTAAATAGTCTTTGAAGGAGAAACCCTTCCCTAGGGCACATCAGAAAGAAGCTACCCCCAGGTCCTAGAAATGTGTGAAGGTTTGGTAGTATATTGCCCCGTGGGTATGTTAAGTACTTTAAAGCATCCTGGCTGTTTCCTGTAATTACAGTCTCACTTTCTCTGTTTTGCTCCCTGGCTCTCCTCTTTCCATGTCACCTACTTCTCTGGGTTGCCAACTGCTCCTTCACCAGCAAACCTACCCCCCCATCTCACCCCCACCACAGCAAGAAGCCAAGTTCACTTTTGCTGCCTCTGAATGAGGCAGGGGACCATGGAAATTTCCTGGCAAGCAAGTAATGTTAGAGGATTTCCTTCCCAGATTAAACTGCCACACGTTTTACATGGCAATCTCTTATGCTGGGATACTTGTGGTGCTTGTTGCAGTAAAGAGGTGGTGTGAATGGCAGACATGTGAAGGTACCCTGCACTGAGTCAAACCACTGGTCCATCTACACTAGTATCGTCTACTCCAGGGATAGCGAACATGGTGTCTTCTAGGCCTTGTGGACTACAACTCCCATCAGTCCCAACTAGCATGGTGCATGTTCAGGGACGGTTGGAGCTGTAGGCCGGCAACATCTGGATTTCTGATGCTGAACAATGTAGGAAGCACATATTTGAAACAATGTGGTATTTCCAGTCATGGAGACAAAGGGCCAACACTTTCCTCCAACCTCCATGCATTATTACTTTTTAACCTCTATTAATCGCATTATTAGAACAAGAAAGAGACACCAAACATAAACTTGTGATGTGCACTCACAGCAGACTCCAATGGTTCTGGATTGAGGCTGGTATAAGCAAAAAATAAATAAACGAGTTTTCTTAGTTATCCAAAGTAAACTCTCCAGACTGTACCACATAGTTATGGCACAATTGTTTAGTTGGGCAAGAGACTCTGAGCATATTGTAAGAGAATTCGGCAATTGGCAATTTCCTCTTTGGCATCTCATGCTAATCCACAACCTTTGATATGAATGGGAAGTTAGTAGTACAGCAACTGGCTACAGAAAACCCTGGGTATAATATATGAGGGCTTCAATCCTAATAAGTTTAACTGAAGTTGTCAGATCCTATTTAGGAGTGGGATAATAGTACTTACCGTAAGTATATATAATGAATACAAAACCTGTCAAATTCAATAGGAATGCTTTGGGGAAAGTGATTAGAGGCTTGCAGCAGCTTTAGCAGATTTTTCTTGTGTCCTAAAATAATAAACCGAGGGGAGTGTAAATGGTTGCAGTTCAGATATTAAGGAAGTGAGAAGTGATGTGTGACATAGATCAGAGTTAGGATTAAGGTAGTTCACACCCAGCAACAAGGACTTGCAGAAGGGAATATGCGCCTTGCATTTTCGCAAATAATCTGTAACTGGAAGAACTAATACCAAAGAGAAGAGCAAGGAGGGAGTTCAAGGGCATGGATTCTTAAATGGTCTGCTACCACTTAATAAAAGCACTTGAAACATTTGCTGCAGTAACAAAGCAGGCCTATCAGTAGCCTCCTTGAAGCTGCAGAGTATACAGTGAAATGGGTGCCTGCTCAAGTCTTTGAAGCACCAGCTCCTCAGGGCCCAAGAAGATGTGATAGTGATCAATATCTGTGAACATGAACCTGCTGCTATGATGTAAAAGTGGGAATGGGTTAAGTTTTTAACAGCAACATGGGCATTAGGTGTACAGAGTGCATAAGCTGCTGTCCCACTTGTGGGATGTATTAACCCTCTCCTACCTTCCTTAACATTCCCACACCACCATACATCTATAGCTTGCAGAGAAAGATTGCAAGGAGAGAAACAGGAGGGACAGTCTACTTCTTCACCATGTGTCCCTTTTGCCCTTAAAGTTTTCCCCTTCTTCTCATGTGGCTGGAGCAGTTCCATGTTGCTATCATGTCCAGTTTGGCCTTTAGAAATGACTAAACGAATGCAATAATGCCCCAGTCCTTTGACTGTGTGAAAGCACACTGGTGTCACTTGGTGCTGGTGCATTTATGGTATAAAATGAAATATATAACTTGGTGCAAAAGCAACAGGTTGCGTGCACTTGATTATACTGTGCACATTTATCATCAGCATGTGATGTGAAAAAATGTGGCAGAATCGCCACTGGAAGGATAATGAAAGGGCACCAAGGGATAGAATCATGTTTATTAATTGAATAGCCAATGGCTAGCCTTACAGGTTTCAGCTGGCATTTTGTTCAGATAACAATCTTAAAAGCCTTGGGATGCTTTATAGGAAGCAGTTCATAAATGATATAATCAAATAATGTTATGTTATTAAAGAACAACTTGATTATTAGCCCCTACAGGTATAGACAGACCATTTTCCATTTCTGATTTCCATAAACGCTTCTAGTCTTCTGCAGTAGAAAATAACAACATTTAAGGACCTGGAGTCCCACCAAAACATTTAGCCGCCCCTTCTGCCTTTGTGCCCATCACCTTCCATAAAACTGAATTCCTTTAAAGAAGGTGCCATCCTGTCAGCACATCTGTCTTGAGACAGGCAGGAAGGGCGGAGGATGGCTGTTCATTAATTGCATCATATTAAGCTTTGAGGCAGACAAGTACTTGAGACAGCCAAAAGGTGAGGATTCCGAGGTCCTCCTGAGCCAGCAACCTCCGCCCCCAGAGCCCCTCCTCCCTCTCACAGGCTTTGCAAAACTGTAGGGGCACAAAGTCTTGAGAGAGAAGCACAAAAACAAAAAGCTGGAGAGGTTTGCTAAAATTCATTTTTTCAAGAAGAGAGTTTGCAAAAAAATTAAAATTGT